TAGTAACACCAGTAGTAGCCCCAGTAGTAACACCAGTAGTAGCACCAGTAGTAACACCAGTAGTAGTAGTAGTTTATACTACTTTAATTTTGTGATAACACAACATAATAATAATTCATTGTAAGCACTTCATTAAACAGAATAACTCAAATGATAAATTAAATTAAACCAAATGAAAGAATGGACCATAGACAGGGGACAGACCCAGCTGATGCTACACAGAAAGCTTCTAAAGAGAAGGTCTAAGCCCGTTAAGGAGACCAAGTCTTGTGCCTTCAGTGGTTGGAGAATTCCGAGCTGGGAGATCGAGCTGAAAGCCCGATCCCCAAAGGAGCGGAGCTTGGTCCTGGGGGCGTGTAGGAGCAGGCTATCGCTTGACCTGAGGGTGCGGGTCGGGTTATGGAGGGAGAGCAGTTCTTTGAGATAATTGCCATGAATACACTGGAAAGTCAGCAGGATGCTCAATACCTTCCATCCTTAGAGAGCAAATCTGTCCTGTATGTCAAAGCAGTTTTGTCATTCTTCTGTTGAAATGTAGGCTATTCTCAGTTAGAGCAGGTCCGCTGAGCCCATGGCCCAGTAAGACACCAGCGCCCATCTATGGTAATGGAAACAGAAAAGTCTGAGCCTTTTGGGTAAAGAAACAGTGTAAATCCTCATTGGAAATGCACCATCAAAGAACTGAGGAGGTCTCCAAACCTTCTGCCGCTTCGGTGCAGTGATTTCAATGACATGACATAGCAGTCACCTTGCAGTTAAACTCTTTATCTCTTCTGTGTGTGTGTGTGTGTGTGTGTGGTGTGTGTGTGTGTGTGTGTGTGAGTGTGTGTGTGTGTGTGTGTGTGTACATGTATGTGTATATGTACAGTGGGGAGAACAAGTATTTGATACACTGCCAATTTTGCAGGTTTTCCTACTTACAAAGCATGTAGAGGTCTGTAATTTTTATCATAGGTACACTTCAACTGTGAGAGACGGAATCTAAAACAAAAATCCAGAAAATCACATTGTATGATTTTTAAGTAATTAATTTGAATTTTATTGCATGACATAAGTATTTGATCACCTACCAACCAGTAAGAATTCCGGCTCTCACAGACCTGTTAGTTTTTCTTTAAGAAGCCCTCCTGTTCTCCACTCATTACCTGTATTAACTGCACCTGTTTGAACTCGTTACCTGTATAAAAGACACCTGTCCACACACTCAATCAAACAGACTCCAACCTCTCCACAATGGCCAAGACCAGAGAGCTGTGTAAGGACATCAGGGATAAAATTGTAGACCTGCACAAGGCTGGGATGGGCTACAGGACAATAGGCAAGCAGCTTGGTGAGAAGGCAACAACTGTTGGTGCAATTATTAGAAAATGGAAGAAGTTCAAGATGACGGTCAATCACCCTCGGTCTGGGGCTCCATGCAAGATCTCACCTCGTGGGGCATCAATGATCATGAGGAAGGTGAGGAATCAGCCCAGAACTACACGGCAGGACCTGGTCAATGACCTGAAGAGAGCTGGGACCACAGTCTCAAAGAAAACAATTAGTAACACACTACGCCGTCATGGATTAAAATCCTGCAGCGCACGCAAGGTCCCCCTGCTCAAGCCAGCGCATGTCCAGGCCCGTCTGAAGTTTGCCAATGACCATCTGCATGATCCAGAGGAGGAATGGGAGAAAGTCAAGTGGTCTGATGAGACAAAAATATAGCTTTTTGGTCTAAACTCCACTCGCCGTGTTTGTAGGAAGAAGAAGGATGAGTACAACCCCAAGAACACCATCCCAACCGTGAAGCATGGAGGTGGAAACATCATTCTTTGGGGATGCTTTTCTGCAAAGGGGACAGGACGACTGCACTGTATTGAGGGGAGGATGGATGGGGCCAACAACCTCCTTCCCTCAGTAAGAGCATTGAAGATGGGTCGTGGCTGGGTCTTCCAGCATGACAATGACCCGAAACTCACAGCCAGGGCAACTAAGGATTGGCTCCGTAAGAAGCATCTCAAGGTCCTGGAGTGGCCTAGCCAGTCTCCAGACCTGAACCCAATAGAACATCTTTGGAGGGAGCTGAAAGTCCGTATTGCCCAGCGACAGCCCCGAAACCTGAAGGATCTGGAGAAGGTCTGTATGGAGGAGTGGGCCAAAATCCCTGCTGCAGTGTGTGCAAACCTGGTCAAGACCTACAGGAAACGTATGATCTCTGTAATTGCAAACAAAGGTTTCTGTACGAAATATTAAGTTCTGCTTTTCTGATGTATCAAATACTTATGTCATGCAATAAAATGCAAATTAATTACTTAAAAATCATACAATGTGATTTTCTGGATTTTTGTTTTAGATTCCGTCTCTCACAGTTGAAGTTTACCTATGATAAAAATTACAGACCTCTACATGCTTTGTAAGTAGGAAAACCTGCAAAATCGGCAGTGTATCAAATACTTGTTCTCCCCACTGTATGTGTGTGTGTGTGTGTGTGTGTGTGTGTATGTATGGGTGTGTGTGTGTGAGTCAGCATCGGGGTGACTCAGTCTTTGATTTAGCTGTCCTATTTCTATCCGTCCATGTCAGGGTCCACTCGATGGTCCCCGTCCCTCCATCTCTCATCCCTCCATCCCTCTCTCTCTCCCTCACCTGTCTGACAGACAGCGCCCTGACCTCCCCTGATTCACCTCTATCCATTCCAAAGATGAAAGGATGATGAGAGAGACAGACATGCGCCGCCCTTCCCTCCCTCATTGTGGCAGGTTGAAAAACAAAGGAGGAGGAGAAGAAGAGAGGGAAGGAAGAGAAGAAGAGAGAGAGGAGTAAAGAGCAGGGGCTTTGGACATTCCCCACATGGCACTGTGATCCACAGGGAATTGTGTATCTAAAGGCCAGGGTTACTGTTCAATCAATAAATCAAATGTTATTTATAAAGCCCTTTCTCACATCAGCAGATGTCACAAAGTGCTATACAGAAACGGAGCCTAAAACCCCAAACAACAAGCAATTCAGATGTAGAAGCACGGTGGCTAGGAAAAGCTCCCTAGAAAGGCAGAAACCTAGGAAGAAACCTAGAGAGGAACCAGGCTCTGAGGGGTGGCCAGTTCCCTTCTGGCTGTGCCGGGTGAAGATTATAACAGTACATGGCCATTAAGGCCAGAACTCCAATATGTTCAAATGTTCATAGATGACCAGCAGGGTCAAATAATAATCACAGTGGTTGTAGAGGTTGCAACAGGTCAGTACATCAGGAGTAAATGTCACTTGGCTTTTCATATCCGGGCATTTAGAGGTTGAAATAGCAGGTGCGGTAGAGAGAGAGTTGAAAACAGCAGGTCTGGGACAAGGTAGCACGTCCGGTGAACAGGTCATGGTTCCATAGCCGCAGGCAGAAGAGGGAAACTGGAGCAGCAGCACGATCAGGCCAAGTAGTCCTGAGGCATGGTCCTAGGGCTCAGGTCCTCCGGGATGGGAGGGAGCATACTTAAATTAGAGGGAGCATACTTAAATAAAGAATTAGAGGGAGCATACTTAAATTCACACAGGACACCGGATAAGACAGGAGAATAACACCAGATATAACAGACTGACCCTAGCCTCCTGGCACATAGACTATTGCAGCATAGATACTGGAGACTGAGATGGGGGGGATGGGGGGGGGGGGGACGGAGACACTGTGGCCCCGTCCGACGATACCCCTGGACAGGGCCAACCAGGCAGGATATAACCCCACCCACTTTGCCAAAGCACAGCCCCCACACCACCAGAGGGATATCAACAGACCACCAACCTACTACCCTGAGACAAGGCCGAGTATAGCCCACCAAGATCTCCTCCACTGCACGAGTCTGTTGTTATACAGACCTCCAGCTACAGTAAGGGAGTAGTGTATCTAAAGGCCAGGGTTACTGTTGTTATACAGACCTCCAGCTACAGTAAGGGAGTAGTGTATCTAAAGGCCAGGGTTACTGTTGTTATACAGACCTCCAGCTACAGTAAGGGAGTAGTGTATCTAAAGGCCAGGGTTACTGTTGTTATACAGACCTCCAGCTACAGTAAGGGAGTAGTGTATCTAAAGGCCAGGGTTACTGTTGTTATACAGACCTCCAGCTACAGTAAGGGAGTAGTGTATCTAAAGGCCAGGGTTACTGTTGTTATACAGACCTCCAGCTACAGTAAGGGAGTAGTGTATCTAAAGGCCAGGGTTACTGTTGTTATACAGACCTCCAGCTACAGTAAGGGAGTAGTGTATCTAAAGGCCAGGGTTACTGTTGTTATACAGACCTCCAGCTACAGTACCCAACCCTTTATCTTGAGATCTTACATTCCATATGTTAGCCTCATGTATAGAGACATAGTGCCATGATGAGGTATAACTCATCTGTCTCCGAAACATGTGCTGTACAGATAAGGTGATAAGGTGAGACCTTGAAGTGTGAGTCTGCTGCTTCTGGTCTTGCTCTCATGTCTCCTGTTGAAGGGAACAGGAATTACAATATGGAGATGGAACGTGCATCGTGCCGTCCATTGTAACCCTTAATGTAGGCTCTTGTTGGTTCTGGGTCCAGGCATCACCTCATAAAAGTGGTGGAGTTTAATAATGGCTTTGACCCAAGCCACATGAGGGGACATATCTACATGACACATTGCCACTATGACAGAGAGAGAGAGAAAGTCCCCCTATTATAAATAGCTGTATGGGGAAAGCATCACCAGAGGAACCAAAGTGTTGCAGAGATCCCCTCAGCGCCTTTCGGGGAAGATAACCCACATGAACGTAGTGGTGGTGGTGACTCAGTCAGTGCTAAGCTGTGCAACATGTCTGAGACTGACTGGGTGAATGATGCTTGGGTCGTGTTCGTTTGGAACCAAACTGAAGAAAAACCGACTGAAACAAGGTTTTCCCCAATGAACCCTGGACCATGTTGATGATGTATCTATCACTGTGCCTTGAGTAACACGTATCTCTCTCCCTCCCTCCCTCTCTCTCCCACCCTCTGCAGTAGAAGGCGTAGTGTGTGATGAACCTAGAGAGTGCGTGTGGTTACCAGGCCGGGGTCGGGGCGCGGGGTCCACGGGAAGTGATGGAGCAGAAGGTCCAAGGTCAGCTGAACTTTGGCTTCCAGAGGAGCTCCACGTCAGACGACGACTCCGGCTGTGCGCTGGAGGAGTACGCCTGGGTACCCCCCGGCCTCAGACCAGAACTGGTGAGACGCCCCAAAATATACAACACAACAGGGTCCAGTGTGGCTCAGTTGGTAGAGCATGGCGCTTGCAACGCCAGGGTTGTGGGTTTGATTCCCACGGGGGACCAGTACGGGAAAAAGTACAAAAATGTGTCCACTCATTACTGTAAGCCGCTCTGGATAAGAGCATCTGCTAAATGACAAGACAGTAAAAATGTAAAAACTAATATACAATATGCTCCTTATATTCAACACTATATGCCACTTAAACTGAACTAAAATATAAACGCAACATGTAAAGTGTTGGTTTCATGAGCTGAAATAAAAGATCCCAGAAATGTTACATACGCACAAAAAGCTTATTTATAATTTTGAGCACAAATTTGTTTACATCCATGTTAGTGAACATTTCTCTTTTGCCAAGATAATCCATACATCTGACAGGTGTGGCATATTAAGAAGAAGCTTATTAAACAACATGATCATTACAGAGGTGCACCTTGTGCTGGGGACAATAAAAGGCCACTAAAATGTGCAGTTTTGTCACACAACACAATGCCCGTGCAACTGGCATGCTGACTGCAGGAATGTCCACCAGAGCTGTTGCCAGATAATTTAATGTTAATTTCTCTACCATAAGCCGCCTCCAACGTCGTTTTAGAGAATTTGGCAGTACGTCCAACCGGCCTCACAACCGCAGACCACGTGTAACCACGCCAGCTCAGGACCTTCACATCCGGCTTCTTCACCTGCGGGATCGTCTGAGACCAGCCACCCGGACAGCTGGTGAAACTGAGGAGCATTTCTGTCTGTAATAAATCCCTTTTGTGGAGAACAACTCATTCTGACTAGCTGGGCCTGGTTCCCCAGTGGGTGGACCTGGCCCCCAAGTGGGTGGGTCTATGCCCTCCCAGGCCCACCCATGGCTGCACCCCTGCCATTTCATGTGAAATCCATAGATTCGGGCCTCATTTATTTTAAGTGACTGATTTCGTTATATGAACTGTAACTCAGTAAAATTGTTGAAATTGTTGCATGTTGCGTTTATATTTTTATTCAGTATATGTCACGTACATGTATATGCAATATAACCCACGACCTTGCCGTGTCTATTGTTATGCTCTTACCAACTGAGCCACATTAGACCATAGAAGGACCCATAAACACATTTGGCTCGTTTAGATAGGAGCTGAGAAACACCACAGTAGCTTTCTCTGTCATTATTTTCCTCGTCATAACTCCATTAGGAATGTTGCCAGGCCTCCTCAGGTTATTTGGGTGGTGAGCAGTGCAGAGGCAGGGTTTGTCACATGCTTGTCACCCTGAAGCACGACAAAGCTGCTTGTCTCTAACGGTTTAACTGTCGCCGTGGCACTTTGACCCTTAGGGCCACTGGCCTGGCTACTACTTTGCCCCTTGGGGCAGTTGACCGCAACTGAAGACTACTTTAGGAGGGAGGGTCATTACTGCCACCAGATAAAAAGGTGGGATGTTCTTGTCTACTGTTTAGAGGGGGCTTCCTGCTGCTCAGCCCATCTCTGGGGATGGCAATTGACCCCCACAATCCTCAGCGTTGGGCCGTCGTAAATAATGCAAATTTCATGCTGCCATTACCCCCTATATCCACCTCCCTAGGTCAGGGCTAAAGAACAGTACGCTGACTGACCCCCTACCTCCAGGGCTGTGTGTTTCTCCACTGTAATGTGCACTACAGGGCTGTTCCACAGAATAGTGGCTGTAAAGGCATTACAGTTGACCCAGGCATTTACACACAAAAGGGGGCTGTTTATTTGGAGGCTTTAGAGCCTGGGTCTCCTGTTGCTTCAGCCCCTTCTCCCCCCCCCCCCTCATTGCTTCCATGTGTGCTGTTTAAAGGGAGGGAGAGGGGGATAGAGAGTGAGATGAGTAAGGAAAGGAGAGAGAGAGAGAGGAGTAAGGGAAGGAGAGAGAGAGAGGAGTAAGGGAAGGAGAGAGAGAGAGAGGAGTAAGGGAAGGAGAGAGAAGAGGGGTAGTTGGGAGAGTGCCACATAACACAAGTGGACTCTGTTTGTGAACAAGCCTGTAAAAGGCAGCTGTGGCGAGGCCCCCTCCAAGCCAAACCTGGTGTTGCCAGCAACCAGCGGGAGGGGGGGAATTGATCCACATCCACTTCTAAAGGCCTCCTCCTGCATCTGATCTGCCAGATCTCTACTAATCACTAGCAGACTTTTCCATGCCAGAGTTTGTAAATAAAAATATACACATCCTGTCTCGGAGTGTCTTTGGGGTGGTGCTTGACAAGTCTGCCTGTCTCACACAAAGGAGCTCCGCTATGCTCACTTTTCGGGTAGGGACAAACACATGCATGCACGCAGCCCATTATTCAGGGACAGGCTTAGTTGGTATTATCATTCCTAATGTGCTGAATAACATTTATCTGGGCCAGTGAAATAGGTTAAGAGAAATCTGGGAAGGTGCTCTTCCTTTCAACAGGGACCTAGAATCAGGTCAGGGCTGTTTTTATGTTCTTGATTAAGAACATTTGACTTTCATGTTACTTCACAGGATAAACAACCCTCCAGGTTCATTTTGCGTGTGGTAGGTGTAAGCATGACGCTACCAAAGGATCAAACTCACATTCTAAAAGAAAATGTGTGTGTGTGTGTGTGTGTGTGTGTGTGTGTGTGTGTGTGTCTTCTGTTCTGTGTGCTCCAGGTTCAGCTATATTTCTCCTGTCTGCCTGAGGACAAGGTTCCTTACGTTAACAGTCCTGGAGAGAAGTTCAGAATCAAACAACTCCTCTATCAACTGCCTCCACATGACAATGAGGTATGGAAAAGACCCCAAAAGAGTGTGGTTGTACGTGCATGGGTGTGTGTAGTTCATTTAAACTGTGTGTGTGTGTATGTTTGTGTATACGCTGTGTGTGTGTGTCATTAAATGCATCCCAGCAGGCCCTCTCATTAAAGGCGTCGTAACAGGGCAGGTCTCACAGGAGGACAGCACCCATTTTTCCCACCATCCTTCCTTCCCATCCACTTTCTCTGACTCAATGTTGTTTGAAGATCTGTGTCCGACCCTTGTCCTTCCCTGCTTTGTAGTAAACCTCATGCCATTCTGCTCATGTGAGGGAGGACTTGGCATTCACGTTACCAACATCCCAGTTGTTAGTCCCTTGGTCCCACACTGGGTCAACAGTCTGTAATGTCGTGGGCACAATAAGCCTTTTGACTATGATTTGATGATGCTTGCTGGAAGCCCCCGCTAGCAGGATTCCTGTCATAGCAGTGGTCTTTCTGGGGACAGACCAGTGGGAAAGGGGACGCTGCTGAAAGACATCCTTTATAATGTGCCAACCCTGCGTGTCTCTCTGTTACCCTTCCCCTCGTGATTCCACTCTAAACACAACCCTTGTTTGTGTAAACTGTAAGCGTCTGCTTTCCCTTGTTAACAGTTTGGGAGGGAGACATCAAAAATGGTTGTCACGCTTTGCTTTGTGTTTTACACTTTCGACTATATTTAACTAAGGCCTCTCTCTCTCTCTCTCCTTTCTCTCCATCCAGGGGCGCTACTGCCAGTCTCTCAGTGAGGAGGAGGAGAAGGAGCTCCACATGTTCAGTGTCCAGAGGAAGAAGGAGGCGCTGGGGAGGGGGTCTCTCAAACTCCTGCCCCGGGCCCTGCTACACAGCTTCTGTGAACATGTATGTCCCTTCTCGCCCTCTCTTACACCGCCACTCACCTCAGTTCCTAACAGGAACACTGTCACATCAGACACATAAACCAATGGGTAGATGGGGTATTTTTAAGGTAACAGATATGTAACGGTTTGGGAAGTTATAGGAAACTGTTGTAATCCATATAACCCAAGTAAACGACTATTGAGAAGGGAAAAGCAGAACTACCTGTAGCCTGTGCTCTTGTTTATCCTTCTGTGAATATGACGCTTCTCTAGAGGAGTCTGTTTCTCTTAGAACCTCCTCTTCCTCTGTGTTGTATGTCAACCAGGCTATGTAAGAGATCCCTAAACATATGGTGGATTTGCAGCCGTGCAGACAGTCTAAAATCTAAAAAGCCTCTTGGTGTTGTTTGGAGTAGCTCCAGTGGGTTGGCTGACACTGTGCTCTGCTCACTTGATGCTCAGTGTTTTATTCAGTGTACTTACAAATGGGTCCTGAGCAGCCCGGGGGTGACCATTAAACTTGGTCAAAACACAGCTATGCTCTGCTCTGCTCTGTAGTGGCTCTCCCTCTCTGCTCTGCTCTGTAGTGGCTCTCCCCTCTGCTCTGCTCTGTAGTGGCTCTCCCTCTCTGCTCTGCTCTGTAGTGGCTCTCCCTCTCTGCTCTGCTCTGTAGTGGCTCTCCCTCTCTGCTCTGTCTCTGTAGTGGCTCTCCCTCTTCTGCTTCTGCTCTGTAGTGGCCTCCTCTCTGCTCTGCTCTGTAGTGGCTCTCCTCTCTGCCTGCTCTGTGTGGCTCTCCTCTGATCTTTAGTGGCTCTCCCTCTGATCTTTAGGGCTCTCACCTCTCTGCTCTGTTTGTAGTGGCTCTCCCCCTCTGCTCTGCTTCTGTAGTGGCTTCTCCACCTCTGCTCTGCTCTGTAGTGCTCTCCCTCTTATCGTAGTGGGCTCTCCCTCTCTGCTCTGCCTCTTAGTGGTCTCCCTCTCTGCTCTGTCTGTAGTGGCTCTCCTCTGCTCGTAGTGGGCTCTCCCTCTCTCTCTGCTCGTAGTGGCTCTCCCTCTGCTCTGTGTGCTCTCCCTCTTCTCTGTAGTGGCTCTCCCTCTCTGCTCTCTCTGTGTGGCTCTCCCCTCTCTGCTCTGTAGGCTCTCACTCTGCTCTGTAGTGGCTTCCCTCTCTGCTCTGTAGTGGCTCTCCCCTCTGCCTGTCTGTATGGCTCCCTCTGCTCTGTAGTGGCTCTCCCTCTCTTGCTCTGTAGTGGCTCTCCCTCTGTCTGTATGGCTCTCCTTCTGTGTAGTGGCTCTCCCTCTTCTATGCCCCCCTGCTCTGTAGTGGCTCTCCCTCTGCTCTGTAGTGGTCTCCCTGCTCTGTTGTAGGGCTCTCCTCTCTGCTCTGCTCTGTAGTGGCTCTCCCTCTGCTCTGTAGTGGCTCTCCTCTGCTCTGTAGTGGCCTCCTCCTCTGCTCTGTTGCTTCCTGCTTCTGTAGTGGCTCTCCCCTCTTGCTCTGGTAGTGGCTCTCCCTCTGCTCTGTAGTGGCTCTCCCCTCTCGTGTCCTCTGCCTTCTGTAGTGGCTCTCCCCTCTGCTCTGTAGTGGCTCTCCCTCTTGCTTGCTCTGTAGTGGCTCTCCTCCTCTCTGATGCTCTTCTGTCTGTAGTGGCTCTCCCCCTCTGCTCTGCTCTGTAGTGGCTCTCCCTCTGCTCTGTAGTGGCTCTCCCTCTCTGCTCTGCTCTGTAGTGGCTCTCCCTCTCTGCTCTGTAGTGGCTCTCCCTCTGCTCTGTAGTGGCTCTCCCTCTGCTCTGCTCTGTAGTGGCTCTCCCTCTCTGCTCTGTAGTGGCTCTCCTCTGTCTCTGTAGTGGCTCTCCCTCTGCTCGTAGCTCTCCTCTGCTGTAGTGGCTCTCCCTCTCTGCATCTGTAGTGGCTCTCCCCTCTTTCTCTGTAGTGGCTCTCCCTCTGCTCTGTGAGTGGCTCTCCCCTCTAGCTCTGCTCTGTAGTGGCTCTCCCTCTCTGCTTGCTCTGTAGTGGCTCTCCCTCTCTTCTGTAGTGGCTCTCCTGCTCTGTAGTGGCTCCTTCTCTCTCTATGTCTCCTTGCTCTGTAGTGGCTCTCCCTCTTGCTACTGTAGTGGCTCTCCCTCTGCTCTCTCGTAGTGCTTCCTCTGATCTGTAGTGGCTCTCCCTCTCTGCTCTGCTCTGTAGTGGCTCTCCCTCTCTGCTCTGTTCTGTAGTGGCTCTCCCTCTGCTCTGTAGTGGCTCTCCCTCTGCTCTGTAGTGGCTCTCCCTCTCTGCTCTGTAGTGGCTCTCCCTCTCTGCTCTGTAGTGGCTCTCCTCTCTGTTCTGTAGTGGCTCTCCCTCTGCTCTGTAGTGGCTCTCCCTCTGCTCTGTAGTGGCTCTCCCTCTCTGCTCTGTAGTGGCTCTCCCTCTCTGCTCTGCTCTGTAGTGGCTCTCCCTCTCTGCTCTGCTCTGTAGTGGCTCTCCCTCTCCTCGGTCGTGGCTCTCCCTGCTGGAAACTGTGTATGTCACAAATAAAATGTGAATAATTTTGTTTCTAGTCCCAGTGTTAAAAGCAAGGCCTGTGTCCCCACATGGCACACGGAGAGAAACAGAGACCAGCAAACAAGAGCCTAACAACCCGACCACAGAGGGAACATAGTCGACCACATAATTCCCATAATAACACCAGATGCCATGTTCAGAACTGTACTGATGTGCTCCCTCACAGATGGAAGGGAGTTGGCCACATATCTCAACCCTCCTCCTCTCTCCAGTAGGGAATGGGGACAAGGGGACCTAGTGGCCATATGATACCCTAGTTAGTATCCAGGGCCGAGGCCATGCTGTAGGATTAGATAGATAGGACAGGACACAGCCACACACTCCAGACTGGAGGTTACATAACTAGGGCATTTGGCTATAATTGTGGACATGTCACTGTGCAGTCAACCACACATTTATTTAGAAATGGAATTCATGTTTTTAAAATGTCAGCGCTTTGACATTTAAGAAATACAATATGGCATTTTTACTGGTCATTTCAATTAAATGTATACACCCACTGATTCTTGAAGAAAAATAACTTGCCTAATGAGCTGAGTAAAATAATACAGTATACAATCTCTAGTTTGAGAGTGAAACTCTGTTCCTTATGGATGTCTGTGTTGTCACAGTGTGGGGAGAGCATCAACGGAGGGGAGATGGCGGTGTTGGCGTCCAGAGCGGTTCCTGGGCTGGTCTGGCACCCAGCATGCTTTACGTGCTCCACGTGTAGTGAGCTGCTGGTGGACCTCATCTATTTCTACCAGGATGGGAAGATCCACTGTGGCCGACACCACGCAGAGCTGCTCAAGCCACGCTGCTCAGCCTGCGACGAGGTGAGTGAGAGTGTGTGTGAAGATGCACTGTGGCCGACACCAGAGCACGTGAGCGGAGTCGAGCGGTTGGAAATCCCGCTCCTGTGCTCCACGTCCTTTCAAAACCGTTCCGCGCTCACACAAAAAAAAGAATGCCGCTACATATTCGCTCCATTCATAAAATTCACAATTTTACCAACACCCATCTATTTTTGTGACTACCTGGGCCTACCATTTGGTTTTTAAGTATTGAAACCAAACCATATGGAATAGAATAAACATGAAAAGGTGAATGTAAGAAGCACACATCATTTGAAATAGGCTACATGTCTTATTAAACATCATAAACACTGTAAATAGGTCAGGAGCCAGACAGGGAGCCTAATTATTTAGGCTATATTATTTCAATTATTTCAAGGCTTTAGCCTCCAAAGAAATACATTAGAGTGAGACAATAGACTGGTAGGGACATAAAGGGCTCAGCATTTAAACAACATTTCCTTGTATTAAATCATTATTGTCTATAAATTACACATATAGGCTATGACTTACTTACAATTAAATACAAATTAAACTATCTGGCTGTGATCTTTTTTTTTTTTTATGACTTATTAGGCTCAGTCTACAGTGCCTTTGAATTCATATTTAGAAACACGAGTTTGGCCAAAGTCTGTGGCTTCAGGTTCATGCAATGGCGCCAGGAGAGCAGGCCAGTAGCAGAGAATATCTTCTCCACGCTTGCAGAGACACTGGGGATGCTAAACACCCTTCGGGCCACTCTTGCCAGGCTGGGCAGAGATGCAGAGTTGTTGTTTTTAATTTTTCTATAGGTAGGCCTTCAAGGTTGTTAGGCAAAATAACCCAATCAAAACGGAAAGCTCCTTGAACATGGGAATATGCCAGGCCTATTGATCCAAAATCAATTATGGTCTATCGTATAGATATTAGAACAAAAATGAACAAAATGTTCAATAGATCAGATTTTTAGTTTATAAATACTTTGCTAAAATGTACATTTACATTTACATTTACGTCATTTAGCAGACGCTCTTATCCAGAGCGACTTACAAATAGGTGCATTCACCTTAAAGCCAGTGCGATAACCACTTTACAATGTTTTTTTTATTTGTTATTTGTTATTTGTTATATATATTTTTTTTAATGTAATTAGTTTTTTTGGTTTTTGGGGGGGGGTTGTGGTGAGGGGGGGGGGGGGTTAGAAGGATTACTTTATCCTATCCCAGGTATTCCTTAAGAGGTGGGTTTCAAATGTCTCCAGAAGGTGGTGAGTGGACTCGCTGTCCTGGCGTCGTGCAGGGAGCTTGTTCCACCATTGGGGTGCCAGAGCAGCGAACAGTTTTGACTGGGCTGAGCGGGAACTATGCTTCCGCAGAGGTAGGGGAGCCAGCAGGCCAGAGGTGGATGAACGCAGTGCCCTCGTTTGGGTGTAGGGACTGATCAGAGCCTGAAGGTACGGAGGTGCCGTTCCCCTCACAGCTCCGTAGGCAAGCACCATGGTCTTGTAGCAGATGCGAGCTTCAACTGGAAGCCAGTGGAGTGTGCGGAGGAGCGGGGTGACGTGAGAGAACTTGGGAACGTTGAACACCAGACGGGCTGAGGCATTCTGGATGAGTTGTAGGGGTTTAATGGCACAGGCAGGGAGCCCAGCCAACAGCGAGTTGCAGTAATCCAGACGGGAGATGACAAGTGCCTGGATTAGGACCTGTGCCGCTTCCTGTGTAAGGCAGGGTCGTACTCTCCGAATGTTGTAGAGCATGAACCTACAGGATCGGGTCACCGCCTTGATGTTAGCGGAGAACGACAGGGTGTTGACACCCTTAGCTTTCTACCCACCTCGTTCCACCATCATGCTTTCGGGATAGGTGTATTTTCAGATTCCACAATGATTCTTTAGTTGTGGACACTACATCACCACACTCCCTCTCTTGCTCTTGGTCCTCCTCATCTTTGTAAGTCACCTTGATTTAGCACCTGTGTGTTTGATCAGTTTCTTTATGAAAATCTATAGCGAACTTCATGACAGTAGCTAAAGCAAGGGGCTATAGCAGCACACAAGTAGACTATAAGTGCATGCTGGGGAGGGCATGCCCTGAGCTCGAGTGAGAGCTACTGGAGCGAAATTGGAGAGGGTGAGAAGGCGCTCCACAGTCCAGTCAAAATGGGCACGCTCCGCTCCACGCTCCGCTCCTCGCTCCGCTCACATACTCTGGCCGACACCATGCATTGCTCCTAAAACCACGCTGGGTCAGATTCAAAAACGCACACCAACACAGGCATATGTTCTCTGGAGGCAACAGCAATAACCGCTTAGACCAATCCAAGCCACACACTTCTCATCAAACTCTGTCTTAATGTGTCTATCTTCAGGTTATCTTTTCTGACGAGTGTACGGAGGCGGAGGGGCGTCACTGGCACATGAAGCACTTCTCCTGTTTTGAGTGTGAGACTGTGCTGGGGGGGCAACGTTATATCATGAAGGATGGTCGGCCATATTGCTGCGGCTGCTTCGAGTCTCTCTACGCCGAGTACTGCAAGGCCTGCGGGGAACACATTGGTAAGCCCTGACGATATGCATACAGACCACTGCTTCTGCCATTGTGAAATGATTGACAGAAACTCAAATAAACGGACATAGTAAACTTTTAGACATAGCCTCTCAATGTTTTTTAGGCAGTGAGTAAATATTTTGCTGTGCGATCTGGAGTTTTTAATTTAGGAGCACCAGTGAGCTTGTCTTTTTTGTCCTGCTTCTAAATGTCTTTGCCTACATCTCTCTCAACTTAGGCCACGTGCTCCTTGTAAAAAAGGTCAGCGTAGCCGTGGTTAGTAATCCAATGCAAAATATCCAAACAATGTACCATGTCAATATTTTCAGCCAGTATGAACATGTTATATGACACATGCCTATGAGGAAGTTGACAATGATTCAGGGAATCACACCACACCAAGTGTTTCACAAAATACACAAACAAATCTTCCCTCACATCTGTGCTAACCGAAGCCTTTCTCCTAGGTGTGGACCATGCCCAGATGACGTACGACGGTCTCCACTGGCACGCCACCAAGGGTTGTTTCTGCTGTGCCCAGTGTAAGAGCTGTCTGCTGGGCTGTCCCTTCCTGCCCAAGCAGGGCCGGATCTACTGCTCCAAGGCCTGCAGTCTGGGAGAGGACGTCCATGCCTCAGACTCCTCCGACTCCGCCTTCCAGTCGGCGCGCTCCCGTGAGTCCCGCCGCAGCGTACGCATGGGCAAGAGCAGCCGCTCGGCCGACCAGTGCCGCCAGTCGCTCCTCTTCTCACCCTCCGTCAACTACAAGTTCCCCGGGTTTACCGGTAACCCAGACACCGATACGCTCACCAACAAACTGGCCCACCTGGGTTTAACCAACGAGGAGTGCTTCTGGAGAGGGAGGGAGGACACTGAGGCCCCTGAGGACCGGGACGAGGAGGAGTGGGCCGAGCATGAAGACTACATGACCCAGCTGCTGCTCAAGTTCGGGGAGCACGGTATCTTCCAGCAGGGTGAGCTGGTCAACTCCAGACCTCCAACCGATCTGTGGATGACCGAGGCGGTCAAGATGAAACAGTGTGAGCCTCAGGGCTCTAGGGCTGAGAGTGGAGGCATTGGAGGAGGACGTGGAGGAGGGTCAGGCAGTCAGAGCCTGGCCAGTAAGAAGTACCAGGCAGATATGTACTGGGCCCAGTCCCAGGACGGGCTGGGGGATTCGGCCTACGGGAGCCACCCTGGCCCGGCCAGCAATAGGAAGCTCCAGGAGCTGGAGCACGCGGCTGGGAGCAACGGGGGTACCGGCTTCCAGGGGGAGGAGAAGCAGTGGTATGACAACTCTTCTCTGGAGTGTATCACAGATGAGCTGAAACAGAAGGATCAGAGCGTCAGGGACTCCATGGACTCACTGGCACTGTCCAACATCACCGGTAAGACATGTTGCCTCTCCATTGAAATAGCCTTTTAGTCCAGTACTAGACTTAATCTGTCCCAGAAACCGGCTCTGAGAACTTGATCTGATTCGCATCCTAATGTTCAATGTTCTGTGATGGCAGAATATTCTTTGAAACAGCACGGTGACAAGACAACTTGTACAAATACATTTCATTATCTCTCTCTCCCGCTCTTCTTCCAGGTGCCTCTGTAGATGGCGATAGTAAAGAGAGACCTCTGGTCTACTCCTTACAGAACTTCCAGGACCTCGAGGCTGAGAGAGACTGTGAGAACACAAGCAACATGGGAACTCTCAACTCCTCCATGTTACACCGCAGTGCCACTTCCCTGAAGAGCCTTACGTCTGAGCTGGAGCCGGAGGAGAACGTACCAGAGGAAGAGGAGAAGGCCCCTCTTCCCTCTCCCACCAAGCCTCCTCACGTCCCGGCGTTGAGACGGACTCGATCCCAGTCCCGACCCCAACAGGTGAAGTTCTCCCCAGACGTCGTGGACAACAGTCTCTATGGTGACCTGCAGGTGCGCCAGCCCCCGATGAGCGAGCGGACGCGGCGGCGAGCATACCACTTCGAGGAGCAGGACCAGGAGCTTGGTGACTCGGGCTCCGGCCGCCATCACAACCACCCTCACCACAGGAGGCGCCGCAGCCGCAAGTCACGCTCCGACAACGCTCTCCACCTGGTGCCCAAGGAGAGGGCCAACCGCATGTACTTCAGAGATGACCACAGAGGCCATGGGGGCCACGGCTTCAGCTCCAAGGGGCCCCAGCAGCAGGCCTTCCTGCCCAACCAGCAGGGGTATGGCCAGGCCCAGCATCCCCACCACCATCCCCACCAAGCCACCTCAGACTACCGACTCCAGCAGGGCCCAGCCATGGAGAGGTTCATGGGGTTGTGTGGGGACAGGGACGAGGATGACTGGTGCTCCACCTGCTCCTCTTCCTCCTCCGAGTCTGAGGAGGAAGGCTTCTTCCTGGGCCAGCCCATCCCCCAGACACACAGACACTACTATGATGGCCTGCCCAGCCATGTGGCAGGCCTGCCCTCCCCGCCTTACGGAGCAGTCCCACGGACTAAGTCCAAAAAGAAGAAGGGGCACAAGGGGAAGAACTGTATCATTTCATAAGACTGGACTTTTTATGGTCCCCTGTTGGTCCACTTTTAAAATGATGTCTGCAACCCCCTTCTGAATCTCTTGTTGTTTCCACTATTGTGAATACAGAAATGGCCAGCTTGTTAAATTGTCTTGCCAACTGGATGTAGTACATGTTAATACGGCTCTGATCCTATCATTGAAAAGCATTACAAAAAAACAGACAGTTTCATAAACACATTTCAAAGCTGTCATCATAATTGTATTAGAAAACATTTTATGCAAATAACAACTTTGAACAAATGTATTTATAAAACAGCATTTACAGACTAACGGAAATGACTATTTAACAGTGAGTGCAGATGTTAATGTATATATTGTAAAGTTCAGATACAAAACTGATATTTTTTTATAACCCTGAGTTCCAAGTGTTTTTGTAGTGGAATGGCATTGAAAGACAAAACTGATTGCAGTTATCAAAGAACCTTCTCTTTTCTTAACCAGGGTTTGAAAAATTAAATATGATATGATGTTCTGCCAGCAAAGGCATTCAGAGTAGAAGAGTTTGACCCTGGGCCTGGTTTTCCAAGAGCATCTTAAAAAAGGTGAAATATGCAGAAAACGCTCTGCCATTTCCTTGTTGCTAAAATTCGAATAGTTCCCCTAATTTCAGTTTAAGTGACAAAACAAGCAAGTATAGTGTAGAGAATCATTGTACCATGTAAACCGCTGTGAAATATATTTTCCATAACACAAAATATTGTATTTTCAGCTGTTTGAAGCTGGTGTAATAAACAAAGTAAGACGCAAAAACTAAACTTAAGAACGGGAAGCATAGAAATAGCTCACAGAACATATCTATCGCTTCTTAGACTTGAATTCAATGAGAATGACATATCTATAACTCACATTTCTGTGAATTTGGTCAGGTCGCCCAAAAAGTTACATATTGCAGCTTTAAGGCCAAGTGTATCGTTAGAACCGTCGTAGGAGCATCGTTAAATCTCTGAGCTGTTTCTCAAAACCATTGTTGCACTTGAAAACGCTACTACTACTTCAGAACAGAACAGCTAAGTGCGTCAGATGCTTTTCCCCTTCCACGTCGCTTCATACACCGAAGATAAACATAGAATCAAATGGTTTATCAGTCTCTCTGTGACCGCCGATATCAGATTAAAGCTGACTACAAATACGTTGCCAATGTCTTTGCAATTGATACAATCAACGTATAAAAACATTCTTCAAATAAAAACCCGAGATGACTGCATTAAAAGTTAAACAGTAGGCTATAGGCCTATTTCAATTATATTGAAATATATCTCATGTTCAATCAATTGAGTTCCAGTTTGCTACTTGTAGGCTACTGTCTAATTTGTCTCAATATATTTCATGATGTGTAGCCTAACGTGCACAATGATGTGCCAAATCGGTGACTTAATGCATTTTTATTGGGTAAGCATTAGAATAAGCCGCCTCAACATTTGCAGCCGTAGGTAGTAGTCTCGCTCCAGGAGCTGATCCGTCGTCAGTATTGTGAAATAATTATAATGTTAAAGTAAGATTTGAATGGAGAAAGCTGATCCGAGAGCAGCGTTTCCTTTCTTTCGATCCCATCAGTATCGACACATACTCCAAGGATGCACTAAGCGACCGTTCTCTCTGCGTGGCGGTTTGGGAAACGCATGTTACATCTTCGGCCGTTGTGGGAAAGATGCATCGTTAAAACACTCGTAAACCTAAGTTCCATCGCTTTCGGGAAACCGGGCCCAGGTTATTTCTATGTATGTGCTTCTTTTGCATTTAGGCTTATGCAGTTGCAGCCCTGACAAGTGGGGATATCACATGTACTACAGTGCTGTGAAAAAGTATTTGCCCTCTTTCTAATTTTCTCTACTTTTGCATATTTGTGATACTGAATGTTATCAGATCTTCAACCAAAACCTAATATTAGATAAAGGGAACATACAGTGAAGGAAGAAAGTATTTGATCCCCTGCTGATTTTGTACGTTTGACCACTGACAAAGAAATGATCAGTCTATAATTTTAATGGTAGGTTTATTTGAACAGTGAGAGACAGAATAACAACAAAATCCAGAAAAACGCATGTCAAAAATGTTATAAATTGGTTTGCATTTTAATGTGGGAAATAAGTATTTGACCCCCTCTCATTCAGAAAGATTTCTAGCTCCCAGGTGTCTTTTATACAGGTAACGAGCTGAGATTAGGAGCACACTCTTAAAGGGAGTGCTCCTAATCTCAGCTTGTTACCTGTATAAAAGACACCTGTCCACAGAAGCAATCAATCAATCAGATTCCAAACTCTCCACCATGGCCAAGACCAAAGAGCTCTCCAAGGATGTCAGGGACAAGATTGTAGACCTACACAAGGCTGGAATGGGCTACAAGACCATCGCCAAGCAGCTTAGTGAGAAGGTGACAACAGTTGGTGCGATTATTCGCAAATGGAAGAAACACAAAATAACTGTCAATCTCCCTCTGCCTGGGGCTCCATGCAAGATCTCACCTCGTGGAGTTGCAATGATCATGAGAACGGTGAGGAATCAGCCCAGAACTACACGGGAGGATCTTGTCAATGATCTCAAGGCAGCTGGGACCATAGTCACCAAGAAAACAATTGGTAACACACTATGCCGTGAAGGACTGAAATCCTGCAGCGCCCGCAAGGTCCCCCTGCTCAAGAAAGCACATATACAGGCCCGTCTGAAGTTTGCCAATGAACATCTGAATGATTCAGAGGAGAACTGGGTGAAAGTGTTGTGATGAGACCAAAATCGAGCTCTTTGGCATCAACTCAACTCGCCGTGTTTGGAGGAGGAGGAATGCTGCCTATGACCCCAAGAACACCATCCCCACCGTCAAACATGGAGGAGGAAACATTATGCTTTGGGGGTGTTTTTCTGCTAAGGGGACAGGACAACTTCACCGTATCAAAAGGGACGATGGACGGGGCCTTGTACCGTCAAATCTTGGGTGAGAACCTCCTTCCCTCAGCCAGGGCATTGGAAATGGGTCGTGGATGGGTATTCCAGCATGACAATGACCCAAAACACACGGCCAAGGCAACAAAGGAGTGGCTCAAGAAGAAGCACATTAAGGTCCTGGAGTGGCCTAGCCAGGCTCCAGACCTTAATCCCATAGAAAATCTGTGGAGGGAGCTGAAGGTTCGAGTTGCCAAACGTCAGCCTCAAAATCTTAATGACTTGGAGAAGATCTGCAAAGAGGTGTGAGACAAAATCCCTCCTGAGATGTGTGCAAACCTGGTGGCCAACTACAAGAAACGTCTGACCTCTGTGATTGCCAACAAGGGTTTTGCCACCAAGTACTAAGTCATGTTTTGCGGAGGGGTCAAATACTTATTTCCCTCATTAAAATGCAAATCAATTTATTTGACATGCGTTTTTCTGGATTTTTTTGTTGTTATTCTGTCTCTCACGGTTCAAATAAACCTAACATTAAAATTATAGACTGATCATTTCTTTGTCAGTGGGCAAACGTACAAAATCAGCAGGGGATCAAATACTTTTTTCCCTCACTGTAAGTGAACAAATAACACAACAATTACATATTTATTTCATAAACAAAGTTATGCAACACCCAATTACCCTGTGTGAAAAAGTAATTGCCCCCTTACACTCAATAACTGGTTGTGCCACCTTTAGCTGCAATGACTCCAACCAAATGCTTCCTGTAGTTGTTGATCAGTCTCTCACGTCGCTGTGGAGGAAATTTGGCCCACTCTTCCAAGTAGAACTGCTTTAACTCAGTGACGTGTGGGTTTTCAAGCATGAACTACTCGTTTCAAGTCCTGCCACAACATCTCAATTGGGATTAGGACAAAACTTCCAATTTGTTGCTTTTTAGCAATTTTCATGTAGACTTGATTGTGTGTTTTGGATCATTGTCTTGCTGCATGACCCAGCTGCGCTTCAGCTTCAGCTCATAGACGGATGGTCTGACATTCTCCTGTAGAATTCTCTGATACAGAGCAGAATTCATGGTTCCTTCTATTAAGGCAAGTCGTCCAGGTCCTGAGGCAGCAAAGCATCCCCAAACCATCACACCACCACCACCATGCTTGACCTTTGGTTTCACGTTCTTACTGTGGAATGCAGAATTTGGTTTTCGCAAGACATAAATGGGACCCATCTCGTCCAAAAAGTTGACTCAAGTTTGCCAAAAAGCACCTGGATGATCATCAAGACTCTTGGAAGAACGTTCTATGGACAGATGATTCAAAAGTATAACTTTTTGGACGACATGGTTCCAGTAATGTCTTGCGAAAATCAAACTCTGCATTCCACAGTAAGAACATAATACCAAAGGTCAAGCATGAGTTAAAGCAGTTCTGCATGGAAGAGTGGGCCAAATTTCCTCCACAGCGACGTGAGAGACTGATCAACAACTACAGGAAGCATTTGGTTGCAGATAAAACAACCAGTTATTGAGTGTAAGGGGGCAATTACTTTTTCACACAGGGGTATTGGGTGTTGCATAACTTTGTTTATGACATAAATGAAATAAATATGTAATTGTTGTGTTATTTGTTCACTTATGTTCCCTTTATCTAATATTAGGTTTTGGTTGAAGATCTGATAACATTCAGTATCACAAATATGCAAAAGTAGAGAAAATTAGAAAGGGGGCAAATACTTTTTCACAGCACTTTCACAGTATATAGGGCCTGGTTGGGTTTACCATTTTATTTATGGGTCATATTGTATTGTAAACAGATCACAGTCATCTGTATAAATGTAAAAACTGGAATAAGGCTAAGGTTGATAATAATAATTGTAATAAAAAATATATTATAACGTGATGAGAATTGTCGTTTATTCCGACTGTTGAGCAAAGTCCCAAAAAGCTGGTACAGAACTAGTACAGTATAAATAATGATTATTGTGTAGAGGACCAGTTGTTAAATAACTTTTATTACCAAATAGAAAATAAAACATGTAAAGAATTTAAGAACACATGACAGTAAATACACAAAAATATGCCAAATATGTATGAT